ATATCGATATAATTTTTCTTTTCTTAACATGGACATTGACAATACTTGTTTGTTAACATGTATGTGCGTGTACGCGCACATGCATTTACATGAAAATGTATGGAAGTATTTGAAAAATTTTTTTTATCTCGCATAAGAATTTAAAAATTTTTTTAATCTCGAATTTATTTCGTCGCAATATTTCACAATATATACAAAGAATGTAATTTTAAAAAATTCAAATAAATTACGTTGAGTATAATTGCTAGATAGCATCGATAAATTAACGAAACAATAATTTAAATTAACCAGCAAGTTTGGATAATACTTTCTCAACCAGCGACAACAGAAAGGCAGCCTAAACTTACAAGGTCATAGTGGAAAGTGCGCGCAGCGAAGAAGTAAGTTTTCACGAGGCGACAGCTTTGGTTCAGTGACAAGTGACTTGCGCAAGCTCTCCTTTATGACTTGTCGCTCTAAAGCTACTTATCTCCGATCGCGCGCAATCTTAATTTTTTTCTTGCCATCACCTCACCTATTTTGGATTTGACTGCTTTTAGTTTAATCTTTATAGTACCCGTTGATTAAGTAGTTGACGAAGTATTTCTAAATAAAGAATTAAGAGCTTTTATTCTTTGAAGGGTATTTAATTTTGGATTTTGACAGAAATATTAGGTTTTAATTAATCGCGTATCTTGATTATTGCACTAGAGTTTTAAATATTAATATGGACAATAGGGACAATTTTTAGTCGACTCGTAAACCGCCACTCATACATATATTTATGTATACGTATATATTTTGACAAAGTCATTTTCTGCTATTAACTTTTTATCCCAGATGTGCAGTTTTCGACGAAATTATTTCACTGGAAAAATGTTAGTTTTATGATACATTAACACTAGGTGTATGTGAAAAAGTGAACAATTTAATGTTCTAAATAGAATTACATTTCCTCATTCGATATTAATATTTACATTGAGAATGAAGCCATTTCATCAAGCTGGCAATATTAATGAACCTAACAATCTAAACTAATCGATCGATTATAGATTTTCTACATGATGTTTATATTTATTTAACTTTCATTTGATCAAATGATGGTTTACTTTATTTACCAGCCGTTTCCTTTTTTTATGCTTGCAATTCGCAAAAGAGAAGAAGAATTTTGCTCTGATAAAAAATTAACGAGGAATATTTCATGTTATGAAGAGAACTGGGTAAAAATCATATTAACAACGATAAAAGTATGGCAAGCATTGAACCTTATCACTAGTTGAAAAACGAATGGAGGAATGAAATGTGTAAATAAAAATATAGGCGAAATAAAAATATAAAATGAAAACGACAGACGGATGGAAGGGGGCGCATATCCAGCTCACTAAGGAGTATTTTGACTTTTTTTTTTTTTTTTATTTATTTTCGCTGCTTTTTCTCGAGGAGCTTAACTTTTTAAAAGCTCGTTGGCTATAAGAAAAGGCACCAGATAAAATGCACGAAAATGAAGAATAGGGAGATAGAAAATGTTGCATTGCCAAGAGACGGAGGCTTTTAACGATTAATTTCATGAAATTTCCTTCGAAATAACCGGATAATTATTTACAATATCCGCTGAAATAAAGTTGATAATTACTTTTCTTTTCTTTTTTTTTTTTTTAGAAGCGAGAGAAAGGGATCGAGAGGGAGAGAGATGAGAAGCGATATCCGTATGGATCTAGAGACCAGTATGAATTGTAATATTTATCTTATACTTTTATTTCACTATGACAAAGTTCGACAAATTTAAAAAATAATTTGCTCAAACCTATATAAGAATTTTCATGAAATAGATTTTTATTTTCAATCGCATTCTTTTAAATTTAATGTCATAAATTTGCATTTTGATATTTAGAATCTTATGTATTATTACAAATACACGTATTTTTAATTTTTTGTTTCACGCAGTATTTTACGAATTTTCATTTTATCGTTAAATATTTTTGCTTACTTTCGCGACGATGAATTCTATTTCTTTTCTCACTAACTCAGTATTCGGATCTTTCAAAAGATCGAGAGAATGTGTTGTCAAATATTAAATTTACGCAGAAGGAATTTGAGAAGAATTTCATTTCAACTTTTTTATATTATCAATTTTTCGAATTGCTTCTGGTATATAATAATGTACTACATTATTTTACAATATGCGTTTGAAAATATTTCGATCAATATTTTCATTTCTATATTTAATATTATATAATATATAATAAACTTGTGATTAAATTTTATCAATAAACTATTAGGACCAAAGATAAGAAATAAGGAAATCTTTTAAATTACCAACACTGCTATTATTAATTACCAATATCGTCCTTCAACATTAATTACAGCAGTAGACATATTTTTCTGTGGTCTAAGGTGTGAAAAATGCGACAATAGTGGATTACTCAAGTAAATACTGCAAGTGCTAATGAAATGACCACGGATATAATTAATTATATCAATAATTTGCAACATGAATTTTCTATTAGTGATATATGTAGAATAGCTCATTGATAATTTCAATCACATTAATTACTAATTATATTTTCAATCTTCCCCAATTTTATTGCAAAATAATGTTGTGCAATTTGCAATAGTTGTGTTGGGGACCACATTATACTATGACTCGAAGGAAAAACTGTGTTGAGAGTGAACAATGAACTTTATCAGATATTCTTCACTTATAATACATCAGAAATTTAATTCTAAAATATTTATCGTTGCAATTTTTCTATTCTGCGTCCTTCGATTGTCCCCATTTTGTTCATTTTGTATGCAGCGTCGACGTTAGGTCGTCGCGCGCCGATTTCGACACGTCAATTAAGTAGAACCCGCGTAGACGCGCAACTCCACGCATACAGGCGCACTAATGTAAAAGCATATTTGTGTATTGTGACTGCACATTGTGCTTTCAATAATAAAACAATCGCATAAGTAACGTACGATTCTGTTCACTCGTGGTAAAAAAAAAAATAAAAAAATAGTGACGAAAGGAGTGATAGATGGAAAATATGTGCGTCACGTATGGTTTTGGGATTGATGAATGTTTGCGTTGGAGATTTTTTAAAATCTACTTGTTGTCTGTAAATTTCATTTATTCTGTTATGGCACATTGTCAGTCTTTGTCGTGCAGTTTGGCGAGAAAATCGCCCAATTAAGTTTCATTTATTCAAGCGTAAAATAGAATCTGCATTTACATCGAAGAGATTCTTCGGCTGCATTATTTGGCTGAGCTAAGTAAACGGATGTATTCACTAAAAATTTGTGATAAGGTGTGTGTGTGTGTGTGTGTGTGTGAGTGAGTGAGAGAGAGAGAGAGAAGTAACAATTGTGATAATAAATGTGAATTCATATTTAGAGAAGTAGAATGCCGAAGTGTTTTCACGCGATGTGTCATGAAACAAATACACGTAAAAAAGAAAAGAAAAGATTGCTCATTCGGCTGAGCACACGTTTTTCTCATTGCAACGAATTATACATTTATAAAAGTATGTGCATTGGCATTCGTGTGCACGTGAGCGTGTATTCATATATCAAATATATCTGAATACGTTTACACCATAATCAGCGTTATAATTTATGTATAAAGAGAGGTATCTTTACGTTTATGTACACTCAATGGTATTTTATACATGTCGTTGAATTTATTTCTCTATTTATTTCTTAAACACGATTATAAATCTTTAATTCATGTATGAAAGGTGTAGTTATGGTTGTATGCGTGAGCTTATTTATGCGTAGCTTCATCCGTTAGTATTGCGTGGGCATACACGCGTGTAACTATGCCGCGCGTGCAATAAACATCATTTGTTTCCATTAACCTGAAAAAGAGATGCGCGTGTCTTTGAGAGGACACGCGTATGGCGAGATATAATGCGAAGGTGGAAGAGGAGGTGGAGAAGAGTTGGTGGAAATAGACACAAGTTATACGGCTCTGTATTTGTGTTGCCTGTGATTGTGTATGAGTATTAAGTTACAGCATTCGTAGCCATAATGAGCCATCTGCGCTGTTTCTTTTTGTCAACGTGTAATTTTCCTTTATCGTTACTTGGGTTTTTCCGATTTGATTGTAATTCGATAAAGAGTTTGCTCCCGTTTCTTTAAATTCGCGTTTTTCTTTAATTGTGCATTGGACACACGTCTTTGCTCGTCGGGAAATGTTTTCTCGAGTGACTGGCGTCTCAATTTTCGCTGACAGCGGTCATTCACGCCTCTGACTTCCAATCTCAAGGAGCAGTGACGCCCACTACGTTCACGCCATCGATGACGAGGAGAATTCGGAATTTTTTGTCAGGGCCCCGACATAATCATATAACAAAATGAAAAAGAAAAAAAAAGGAAAAAAGTCGAAATATTCTTTGACTCGAGTATTTTCATTTAGTTATTTCGAAGTGAGAAATTACATCACATATCAATAATATACAACTTTGTGTCATTGAAAGCTATTATTATGTAATACAAGGGCATGTAAATTTAAAATTTCTTTTTACACGAAAACAAGGTGAAAGTGTCATACATATTTCCCCCTTCTTAATTTTTTATCCGTAATGTTTAAATGTTTCCGTAATACATATATCCAATTATCCAAGGTATGAATATTTTTTAATTAAATAAACAATAAATTTTATGTTGTTTTAAAAGGAGAAAGGTGATTTATGATTCGAGAGCGCGACTTAATGAATTTTTGACAGTCGCAATTCCTATAAAATCATGAATACCATTGATTGTTTTATCGCAGACTCTTTTGCTTTATGGCTGCTGATATATTAAAAAATAAAAAGTACATTTGAGTGTTACTTTTAAAGTATATATTTTGATCGCAGATCGAGTTTTAAATAAATTCTACACATTATAAAAAATATATCAAACTGATTATTTACAATCAATGGTATTCGTTATAAGAGAAATCGTTCACTTAATGATAACTCTGAAAAATGCTAAAAAAACTAATTAATAAATTATTAGGTTGTAAAAAATATTTGAGTTTTGTGTTAAATACTTACAACTCTCGATTTCGATATTACATAATTGTCGATCCATAGGGAAATATTGAAGATTCATCGGACATGATGCTGTGATTGTTAATCTGTAAATAGGGAGTAAAAGTAGAATTATTATAAGAGGTTATTTTAATTTAACAAATGTTTCATAATGCTTTACGCAAAACTTTCGTTTTAAATCTTATAACCGAGTGTCATTACTTTCCTTATGATAAAATTTAATTTTAATTTATCAGAAATTTAATGTAATAAAATACTAGATAAGTTATAGCAACGTAAATGGATAATTATCAGAATTTATTTATTGCCTTATTAATGTGACATTTTATCGTTCTATAATATTTCTTTATATTATCATTTTACCAACTACAAAACAATTGAATTTCAACTTATGTAGTATCTAATTATATCTTGATAATCGCATAATGAACGAGTGTAAGGATTATTACTGCTTCAACTTTGGCAATTAATTGTTACTGTTCGTCCGGATTAAAAATGTAATTCGATATACTAATCGAAATATCTTATATAATATCGTACAATGCATACGTTTGTCAAGGGGCTTAGAGATGGGAAACACTTGAAGGAAAAACGCACGAATCTCCGCTAATAAGACTTGGTTTCTGTCGTTTAATTTAGCCATTTAAAGTTTGGTTGATCCTAGCCGGTTTAGCTCATTATTTCTATGACACAGCTTTTTGTTGCATTACGGATTGAATTAAAATGCTGCTATTAGAAGTTATCGCTTATGCATACTAATTTTTGAGTTGTTATGCCCTTTTCCGGTTATAGGGGACCGATGTGACGAGTAGTCTCGACGAGCATATTGACGACAACAAGTGGGTAATTAGATTATTTTGGGTCAGACTTATAGTTTAAAGTCGTTTAATGACGGTTTCATTCTTTCTTGACGGTCGTCACTTTGGTTTCAGATTTATTTCTATATGCAAATAAATATTTAATATCGAAGTATATTTTTAATGTTATTCGAGCAATTTGATTTTCAACTGTCTTCTTACGGAATTTTATAGCTATATTGTTTATGATTAGATAATAATGTAGGTAAATTTTTATATACACATGCGAAGTATTTGTATTTAATATAAAAATAATTTAGTTTATAATATTTTCTGCTGCTGCGGAATTTAAAAGCTATAGATTAAAACAATAGATTATTAATAACAATTTAATTTCTATGAATAATGAAAAAACTTAAATACATTATAATGAACAATGGGTTTAGCAATATGAATATTACCGTATTTTTCAATATATTTCTTAGGTGCATGAATATTGCGAAATTAAATATTATTCTTACTGAATTATTATTATTTCGTCTTTTTTTTTCTTCTTTTTTCTTCTTCTTTTTTTCTTTTTTTTAACGATGTATTTCAGTCTTCATACTTCTTAACTAAGAATACTAGCCAATACTAGTTGAAAATAAAAGTATAAGTAGTGTAATGTAGAGTTTTCAGTAATTTTAATGATAGGGTTATGTTTAGATTGACGATCAATAATGAAAAGTCTCCGTAAATCCTTAATCATTAATGTAAATAGCATTGAATGAGTATAGCTTGGGGCACCATAAACTCCTGAAAGACAATCTAATTTAGCGTTTGTTCTTGATTTCGAGGGCTCGACGTTTATGAATCGCTACGCTTATGCATCATGTGCAATTTTCCGCTTGGTTATAATTTCGTTGGAAATTACAAGTCGCTCGCTCACTTTGCATTTAACGACCCTCCGAGCTTGCAAATATTCCGTGAAGCCATATCACCCGTATACGTCCCAGCCGCTAATTTTATCAGTATTTTAATAGGCCCTGCCCCAGACTATCGAGAGCATTTACGTTATAGGAGGAGCGAGGTTGCGCGGGTATGGGATAGATCGATGATGAAAGTTGCTCTTAGTTGGAGATATTGAGAGAATTCAAACTAGATGAGCGTCTAAATAGATAAATGGATAGATAAGTTATGTATATAAATATGATTGTACATGGTAGAAAGATCAATTTTTATAAGATTCATTTGTGTGATTAATCGATGGGCATTGGGAGGGAGGCAAAGAGAAATATGCAATAAGAAATATTTCGATACTGATACGTGACCTTTTACAAATGTTTCAATATCAATATAAAAATAACAATATAAGAATATAATTACTTTTAAAACTGAATTAACAATAATATTACAAAATTTCGATGAAAATTTCTATTAATGGATAATTCAGGACGATCTATCATTAGAAATTAACATTGAAATTCAGGAAAAACGTTTGTATTCCAAAATTTTCAAACTTGGTAAAGAAGTTGATGCAACATTAATGCAATAGTATTTCTCCTGCTCGAAGTGATATATATATATATATATATATATATATAGTATTGTGCTTTCTTTAATAGAAAATTTGCATTATATTTCCTTATTTTAGTTCTGTAACATTATTCTAGTACAATCACAGCTTCGCAATGCGCAGCTTTAAATTAATATAAAACTTTTCTATGCATAATTCATGCTGTATATCGTTGGATTTCTGCTTAACAATCATGTACTGGTTTTCTGTTTTTTCTTTCGAATAAACAATTAGTCAAACCATAAGATTAAACGTTGATATATATATATATATATATATATATATATATATACATTTTTAATAGATAAAGATACCATGAAGATAAGATGAAACGTTTATATAATATATTTGTAATTATTTTATATTTGATTATTCATTAGATTTTTAATGATTGTCTTAATCATGTCTTAATGATTATTGGTATTTAATGCAAAAAATAAAAAAAAAACCATAAAATCCTTATTGGGCGTCTCGATATTACGATATTAAGTATTTTAAAGAAGCTGTATGATTAATAATTACAGTAGTTTTGTGCTCGTTTCATTAGATCTTCCATTTAAAAATCCAATACGTTAAAAACAATGGAAAATAAAATTCTGTCATAAATATTTTTTATTAAGTAATTAAGCGCAATTTTTTTTTTATTTAAAAAAAGTAGCAATATTTAAAATCTAGATTGACATTTATAAAAGTAATTGTTATATTCTATTTTGAAGATATTTAGTTATACGGGGATTTTAATGAATAGACAGATAATCCTGCAGAATCTCTTTAAAAGACCTTTCCAATCGAATGGTTCGCAAATGAGAAAATGAGAGCAAAATTTTACAAGCATTTAAATATAATTTAATTTTTAAATAGAATATAATTATGCCTTATTATGCAATAATATATTATTTAAAGAAATGGAAAACTATTTCCATACATGGAAATGATTTTTTGAGTTCGAAACGATCATCAAATAGAATTTTCAATGAATTAATGAATTTCATTGATCAAGTAAATGAAATTGAGAGAAATGAAAAGGAAGGGTAGCAATATAATAATGTAGTAGAGTGACAGCAATGGGCTAAAAATAAAAAGAGATTGCCAATCCAATCAAAATTAAGTTTCCAGGATGGTAGAAAAGTGTTTACAATTTGTTCGAATGGTCATTGTTACATAAATCACGGTGCATTGACCAATAAATAAGCGGGTTTAACAATAAATAATCTAATATTTTCAGCAAGATATTTCATTTCTGTACGTAGGTAATTTGAAAAGAAAAGTTTAGGGCTAAATAATACGTTGAAGTATATAAATACTTTAAAGGTAAGTACTAAGTACTAAATAATCAAAGTAGAAAATACTTGGATAGGTCTGAAACTGTTCTCTTCCGAGTGTCTCACTTCTATTTATTTATTTATAGTATGTATATATTATTTAATCGTAGTTGATATTTGCCGTTGCTTGAATAACTTTGGAAGTTTGAATATAAAAGTTTTCAAGGGACAATCCGAAATAAAAGAAACTTTAACCCTTTAACTTTTTTGTATTATGAACATTTATAAAATTCTATTTAACAACATATTGTTTGATATTACACGGATTTTCTTAACTTTCATAAAGTATATTATTATCCTTTATATCTGCCGGTATGCATGACAAATGTTGATAACTTTCAATGAAAAATAATGCCCTTTGAACAAAATTAAAAAGGCCCCTTCCAAGTGCAATTGTTATAGTCTTTTATATTAATATGGAACGTCTTTCACAGAGTTGTCTCACAAAATACCCAGTACCTCTTATTCGCAAATATTTTGCACAGCAGCGCCAAATCGTGTAAATTATCTCAAAGGTAATTCCCATATCTCCGTTTGCTTTTAGCCGTTTTCCTATTGACTAGCATCGCCGGCTTTATTTTGCCCACCTCTGAAGATAACCGGCCACTCCAATGCCATTTTCCATACTTTTCCGCCTGACGGATCTGCTCGTCTGCACACCTGTCGGAAAAGCGGCACCAACACTACCGTTGTTGTCGAGGGATATATAGGAGCTTCCTTTTTATCTTCACTCTATCGTCAATGCCACTCGAGTGCCTCGTGACACTGCCAGACGCCGCTTATTCTTTACCATATTTTATACAGCGATTATCTGAGTTCCTTCCTTGCGTTCGCCTACGGTATGTTGAAAAGTTAAAGGAATTTCTATCGATGTGGTGAGGTTTGTTATAACGTCGATGATTGTTGTGCTAATTAGACTTAGCTGTTGCATTTGTTGTGGAAAAAATGGCCACTGCATTACCGGAATGTAGATAAGACGAATGAAAAAATTTTCTAAAAAGCCTGTTAAGTGAGGCTAATGTATAACGAAAGAATTTTTCATTCGAATTTTTAGTCGAATATTTTCTGCGAGTTTGGTAGGCCATTAAGATGTTTAAAATCAATAGTACATAGAATTTGTCAAGAGATAGAAATATATAGATAATATATTTTTGCCTTTGTATAATGATGAAAGGATTGTATGATTTTTATCTTATAAATCTCCGTCGTGTCTTTGGCAGTAAGATGAGTCGGAGTTATGCAATTTTTGCCATTCGGATATCTGAATATTGCCAATTTAATTATTGAATATATGTGGTATTCGTTGAAATTTTCACATCGTACAATCAACACTAGGCCTTCGGGTATTTTTTTTTTTTGTAATATCCAATCGAAACTTCGAGTTTCTCGCAGTTCTATCGCATCTTTGGAAT